CAAAAGTTGCAGCAATTTCCAGCTTGAAAAACAAACTAAGGCAATAATCCAGATTATCCTGGCAAAAAATCCAGATTAAACAGGAGCACTTCCAAAATACCCCAAAATCACACAGTAAAAGGAAAACAATCAAACAAAGAGCTGTGAAGAAGAGCCATCATCCAAATGAAGTCCGAAGTCGAAGAAATACAAGTCCAAAGTTGCAAGATTCCAAAGTCGTCGTCAAAAGCAGTCCAAAGTCAAAGAGAGGGGAAATCCACACTTATGAGAATCCAAGTCGGTTGGTACACGAAGCAAAACAGCAACCTGCAGATCCAGGACCCAAACCCAACAGGAAAGTGGCAGCGACAAGACCCAAGGCACAAAACCAACACTTTGCCTACTGCAAAGTTCTATCATTCCAGTGCCTACATTGATCTTACAACTAATCACCCGATGGTGAGCTGCCCTCCACCGCATCCTCATCACTCTCAGCTGGCTTAGCTTCTACAGCTGAACGCCAACGCCCATCCCTCCAACTCTGTCTTCGAACTCATGACCTTTTGGCCAGTAGTGATCTTAATGCAGCTGACTCCCAACTAGCTGTGCCACAGTCCTGGTACATCCCAAATAGATTACCACAACTCTACGTGGGGTTGCCTTTGAAGACTGTTCAGAAACTTCAATTAGTCCAATGGGCGGCAGCCACACTACTCACTGGAGTAACATACAGGGAACATACCACCCCGCTGTTGTGTCAGCTCCACTGGCTTCTGAGTACAATTCAAAGTGCTGGTCTTGGCCTACAAAAAACCCTATATGGTTCTGACCCGGCTTACTTGTCCAAACGCATCTCCCTCTATGTTCCACCTCGTAGCTTAAGATCATCCGGGGAGGCCCTGCTCTCGATCCCACCAGCTTTGCAAATGTGTTTGGCAGGGACGAGGGACAGGGCCTTCTCATTATTATTGTGCCTGTGCATATTTTTTTATTTTTCATATTGTTATGTATTCATGTGTTTTATGTAATTACAATGTTATTGTTTATTGTTTGCATTTTTGGTTTGTGTTTTTGGTTTTTCTTTATTGTAATTGTAATTTGGGCTTGGCCTCATGTAAGCCGCTCCAAGTCCCCATTGGGGAGATGGTGGCGGGGTAATAAATAAAGATTATTATTATTATTATTATTATTATTATTATTATTATCATCATCAAACAGAGGCTGGATGGCCATCTGTCAGGGGTGATTTGAATGCAATATTCCTGCTTCTTGGCAGAATGGGGTTGGACTGGATGGCCCATGAGGTCTCTTCCAACTCTTTGATTCTATGATTCTATTATTACCTAAAAAAACTACAAACATGGATCCAAACAACATCAAGCAAATCCAGCTACATTTTTTTTTGTCATGTCAGGAGCGACTTGAGAAACTGCAAATCACTTCTGGTGTGAGAGAATTGGCCATCTGTAAGGATGTTGCCTGGATGTTTTGATGTTTTATCATCCTTGTGGGAGGCTTCTCTCAAGTCCCCTTTGCATGGGGAGCTGGAGCTGACAGAGGGAGCTCATCTACACTCTTCCCCGGATTCGAAACCTGACCTGTCGTCTTCAGTCCTGCCGGCACGGGGGGGTTTAACTCACTGCGCCACTGGGGGCTACTTATCGACATCAATAAAACAATTTCAAAGCTCAGGAGTGTCCTGCTGAACTATGTCAATTCAATCACCTATTTAATATGACCTGTTGATAGTCCGCATTCAAGCCCGTTTGGGGCTGGCTACCAATATTGCCTCGTAATCAAGCTAAACCCCTTAAGAGCTTATTTCCCTTCCAATCATAAAGGAATTTATTGCAGGCGCAGCAGATGGGGGGGGGGGGCTGCCTATTCATGAAACCTATGCTTATATAATCACAGCTGTCCTTTTCTTTTTTGCCTGCCCTCCTTGTTGCTCATTCCCACAATCTGCAGCAAGAGGCAGTTAGGAATGGTGGGAGTTGAAGTCCAAAACACCTGGAGGGCCCAAGTTGGCCCAGGCCTGGGTCAAAGGATGTTTAGAAGTCAGGCATTATAGGTATAGGCCTTCTATCTGAATTCATTCGATTGATGCAAACTGCAGTCTTCCAAATGTATCCAACTCCCATCAGCTCTAGTCATGATACCTAATGCTGAGGAATAGAGGAGTTATAGCTCAACATCTGGAGGGCTGCATAACATGGTGTGGGAGGCTAGGATTCAACCTGCAGGCCTTGAGTTTGACACACATGCTGTCGGAACCCAGATGCCTTAAAGTACCAGACACAGGAGTATGTCCAAAACAATCGTTTATTAAAGCAAAGTAAACAGGACTCAGAGACACTTGCTTCAGTGCCTCTGGTCAAAACTTAAAGATTGTAGCAATTTCTAGCTTGTAAAACAAAGTCAGTCAATAATCCGGATTAAACTGGCAAAAAACCCGGATTAAACAAGAGTTCTTCCAAAGCACACCCAAAATCACACAGTTCAATGGAAACAAACAAACAAAGAACCGTGAAGGGAAGCCGTTGTCCAAATGCAGTCCAAAGTCAAAGAAATCCCAATTGAAGGTTTCAAAGTCCACTTAGGCAGCGTCGTCATCAAAAGCAGTCCGAGAGCAGAAATCCGCACTTACGAGAATCCAAACTGGTCAGTTTGTTGTTGTTCATTTGTTCAGTCATCTCCGACTCTTCGTGACCTCATGGACCAGGCCACGCCAGAGCTCCCTGTCGGCCATCACCACCCCCAGCTCCTTCCAGGTCAGTCCAGTCCCTTCAAGGATGCCATCCATCCATCTTGCCCTTGGTCGGCCCCTCTTCCTTTTACCTTCCACTTTCCCCAGCATCATTCCCTTCTGTAGGCTTTGCTGTCTCCTCCTGATGTGGCCAAAGGACTTCCGCTTTGTCTCTAGTCTCCTTTCCTCCAGTGAGCAGTCGGGCTTTCTTTCCTGGAGGATGGACTCGTTGGATCTTCTTGCGGTCCAAGGCACTCTCAGAACTTTCCTCCAACACCACAGTTGCAAAGCACCTGTCTTCCTTGGCTCAGCCTTCCCGAAGGTCCAGCTCTCACGTCCGTAGGTGACTACAGGGAAGACCATGGCTTGGACTAGGCAATGGATCTTTGTTGCCAGTCTGATGTCTCTACTCTTTATTATTTTATCAAGACTGGACATTGCTCTCCTCCCAAGAAGGAAGTGTCTCCTGATTTCCTGGCCACAGTCTGCATCTGCAGTAATCTTTGCGCCTAGAAATACAAAGTCTGTCACGGCCTCCACATTTTCTCCCTCTATTTTCCAGTTGTCAACCATTCTTGTTGCCATAATCTTGGTTTTTTTGACGTTTAGCTGCAACCCAGCTTTTGCGCTTTCCTCTTTCACCTTGATTAGAAGTCGCTGTGAACTGGTCAGTACACAAAGGTAAACAGCAACCTGCAGATCCAGGACCCAAGTTGCCCAACAGGAAAGCGACAGTGACAAGACCCAAGGCACGAAACCAATACTTTGCCTACTGCCAAGTTCCATCACTCCAGTGCCTTCATTTATCTTACAGCTCATCATCAGATGATGAGCTGCCTTCCACTCTGTCCTCATCACTCTCAGCTGGCTTAGCTTCCAGAGCTGAGCGCCAACGCCCATCCCTCCAACGCTTCCACCTCTTGTCAAGACTTCCACCTCCCCACGATTCCACAGTATCACCCGATTGCCAATCCCCACCACCAGAAAACTCCTCAAAAGTGTCACTAGACTTTGGCTGAGTACACACATTCTGAACCTCCTGTACTTTGGTCCAATCCAATGGTTCCTCTTCATCCCCACTACTCCCAGACCCATCATTCCCAGAAAAACCCATGAAATCCTCGTCCTCTGTGGGAGCAGTAAGTATGTCCGGGATCTTCTTTCTCTGACGCTCCTTGTCTGACTCCTGCTCCCGAGTAACCCTCTTAATGCCTCCATTCCCATCTGAATCTCCTTCCTCCTCCTCACTCATTTCACTCTCGGAGAAACCTTCAAAGGATTCTTCCTCAGTGGGTGACAGAAGTGTCTCCCGGATTCTCTTCCTTTGCTGTTCCTTGTCTTACACATGGGTGCCTCTTTTCCCTACTCTACCACTCCTACTACCAGTTGCAGCGCTGCCAACAGACTCTACTACAACACATGCAAAAATGTTATATGGTTTATATTTTTGTGTTTATATCTAATGTCACTGAATGCATGTATTTTACGTTCATAAGTTTTTGATTTTGTTGTACCCCATCTCATGAGAGGCTGGAAATAAATAAACAACCCTGGTCATTCCACAGGGATGTTGGAACTTTTTCCTAGTTCCAACAGACCTCACAACCTCTGAGGATGCTTGCCATAGATGCGGGCGAAACGTCAGGAGAGAATGCCTCTAGAACATGGCCATATAGCCCCAAAAAACCTACAACAACCCACTAATTAAGGTGGTCAGTTGAAACATTCACACCTAGCTCCAGCAGACAAGAGTCCTTTGTCCCACCCTGGTCATTATTCCACAGATCGATAAACCCTTTTTCCTAGTTCTAACAGACCTCCCTACCTCTGAGGATGCTTGCCATAGATGCAGGCGAAACGTCAGGAGAGAATGCCTCTAGAACATGGCCATATAGCCCGGAAAAACCTACAACAACCCATCTCGTTCCATGTGGATGTTTTGGAACTGCTAGGTTGGCAGGAGCTGGGGCGAAGAGCGGGGTCCCGAGATGAGCCAGTCTCCAGGAGGGAAGGGGCGAGAGTTGCATGGGCGAATAATGGGCGGGGGCCAAAGGGACGGGTGTCCCCAACTCCTCTGTCCTGAGCCCGGCCAGAGGCGCATGCGCCTCCCTCCGCCAGCGCTCCAGCTGGGCTTGGCTCCCCCAGAGAGGCAAGGAAGGCAGGCAGGCYYGSAGGCAGAGCGCGGCCGGAGGGCTTTCCGCGGGGCATCCCCACCGCAGCCCCCCAAGGAAGGAAGGCAGGCAGGCAGGAAGGCAGAGAAGGGGCGAAGGAAGGAGGGGAGCCATGGCCGGGGAGAACCAGCCGCGGAGCCTGCGGAAGAGCATCTCGGCGCAGCAGCAGCAGCCGCCCCCCCCGCACCCGCACCCGCCGCCCCAGCCCCAGCCCCCCCGGCCCCCCCACAKGCAGCAGCCCCCGCCCCAGCCCCCCGGCGCCCCCGAGAGGGTCACCCTCAAGAAGGAGATCGGCTTGGTCAGCGCCTGTGCCATCATCATCGGTAGGTAGGAAGGCTGGCAGGGAGGGAGGGAGGGAGGGGCGCAGACTCGCTTGGTCGCCCCGGTGGGGGCTTCTGCAAGGATCCATCTGCGGATTAGCCCCTCCTGCTTCTGGGGTTTGGGAACGAGCGCGGCTGGACTACAACTCCCAAGCTCCAAAATCAACCGCCTCCAAACCCTACCAGTTGATCTTGTTGGGTCTGCGTGCCAAGTTTGGTCCAAGTCCTGCCTTGGTTGGGTTCACAGTGCTCTCTGGATGTGGGTGAACTAGAACTTCTCCAAGGTCAATCCCTTCCAAACCCTGCCAGTATTCAAAGTTGGGCATGTTGGGTCTGTGTCCCAAGTTTGGTCCCAGTCCACCCTTGGTTGGGCTCACTGTGCTCTTTTGATTAGAGTGAACTACAACTCCCAACCTCCAAGGTCAACCCCCTTCAAACCCTGCCAATGTTCAGAGTTGGTCATGTTGGGTGTGTATGCCAACTTTGGTCCCAGTCCATCCTTGGTTGGGCTCACAGTGCTCTTTTGATTAGGGTGAACTACAACTCCCAACCTCCAAGGTCAATCCCTTCCAAACTCTGTCACTTTTCAAAGTTGGGCATGCTGGGTCTGTGTGCCAAATTTGGTCCCGGTCCATCCTTGGTTGGGCTCACGGCGCTCTTTTGATTAGGGTGAACTACAACTCCCAACCTCCAAGGTCAACCACCTCCAAACCCTGTGCCAGTATTCAAAGTTGGGCATGTTGGCTCTGCATGCCAAGTTTGGTCCTGATCCATCCTTAGTAGAGCTCACAGTGCTCTTTGGGTGGAACTACAAATCCCAACCTTCAAGGTCAACCACCTCCAAACTCAGCCAGTATTCAGAGTTGGTCATGTTGGGTGTGCGTGCCAAGTTTGGTCCAGATTCATCCTTGGTTGGGCTCACACTGCTTTCTGGGTGTGAGTGAACTACAACTCTCAACCTCCAAGGTCAATCCCTTCCAAACTCTGCCACTTTTCAAAGTTGGGCATGCTGGGTCTGTGTGCCAACTTTGGTCCCAGTCCGTCCTTGGTTGGGCTCACGGTGCTCTTTTGATTAGGGTGAACTACAACTCCCAACCTCTAAGGTCAACCCCCTTCAAACCCTGCCCGTATGTTATGTTGATCATGGGGTATCTGTGTGCCAAATTTAGTCCAGATCCACTGTCAATGGGAGTCACAGGGCTCCCACCGAACACCAGTTGAGTTCACAGTGCTCTTTGAGTGTGGGTGAACTATAACTCCCATCATCCAGGGCCAACTGCCCCCCCCCCCCAAATCCTTACAGTATGTTCTGTTGGTCATGGGGTGTCTGTGTGCCAAGTTTGGTCCAGATCCATTGTCGGTGGGAGTCAAGGCAATCTCTGAAAGTGTTGCCCGTCTTGGAAAAGACATACAAATGAACCTTGATACATGTATACAAACGTTCACTATGATTATATAGATAGATATCGAAGAAGGAGATAGAAATGAGCTGTGAATGTTCTCCACCACATTCCTCCTCCATCTCCATCTCCAAGATCTCCACCACATTCCTCCTCCATCTCCTTCCCCTCCATCTCCAAGATCTCCACCACATTCCTCCTCCATCTCCATCTCTTCCATCTCCATGATCTCCACCACATTCCTCCTCCATCTGCATCTCCATCTTCTTCTCCTTCCCCTCCATCTCCATGATCTCCACCACATTCCTCCTCCATCTCCATCTCCAAGATCTCCACCACATTCCTCCTCCATCTCCTTCCCCTCCATCTCCAAGATCTCCACCACATTTCTCCTCCACCTCCTTCCCCTCCATCTCCATGATCTCCACCACATTCCTCCTCCATCTGCATCTCCATCTTCTTCTCCTTCCCCTCCATCCCCATGATCACCACCACATTCCTCCTACATCTCCATCTCCTTCTCCTCCTACATACAAATGAACATAGATACATGTATACAAACTTTCACTATGATTATATTGATAGATATCGAAGAAGGAGATAGAAATAGGCTGTGAATGTTCTCCACCACATTCCTCCTCCATCTCCATCTCTTTCCCCTCCATTTCCATGAACTCCACCACATTCCTCCTCCATCTCCTTCTCCATCTCCCTCGCCTTCTCCTCCATCTCCATGATCTCCACCACATTCCTCCTCCATCTCCAACTCCTTCTCCAACTCCATCTCCATCTCCTTCCCTTTCCCCTGCATTTCCATGATCTCCATCACATTCCTCTTCCGCCTCTATCTCCTTCTCCATCTCTTTCTCCTCCTACATGCAAATAAGCATAGATACATGTATACAAACTTTCACTTTGATTATATAGATACTAGATATTGAAGAAGGAGATAGAAATGGACTGTGAATATTCTCCACCACATTCCTCCTCCATCTCCATCTCCATCTCCTTCCCCTCCATTTCCATCTCCACCACATTCCTCCTCTATTTCCTTCTCCATCTCCCTCGCCTTCTCCTTCACCTCCATCTCCATGATCTCCATCACATTCCTCCTCCATCTCCAACTCCTTCTCCATATCCATCTCCTTCCACTTTCCTTCCATCTCCATGATCTCCACCACATTCCTCCTCCATCTCCTTCTCCATCTCCCTCGCCTTCTCCTTCTCCTCCATCTCCATGATCTGCACTATATTCCTCCTCCATCTCCATCTCCTCCTCCATCTCCTTCTCCATCTCCCTCGCCTTCTCCTTCTCCTCCATCTCCATGATCTCTACCACATTCCTCCTCCATCTCCTTCTCCATCTCCCTCGCCTTCTCCTTCTCCTCCATCTCCATGATCTGCACCATATTCCTCCTCCATCTCCATCTCCTCCTCCATCTCCTTCTCCATCTCCCTCGCCTTCTCCTTCTCCTCCATCTCCATTATCTCCACCACATTCCTCCTCCATCTCCTTCTCCATCTCCTTCTCCTCCTACATGCAGATGACCACAGATGCATGTATACAAACGTTCACTTTGATTATATAGATAGATATTGAAGAAGGAGGTGGAAATGGGCTGTGAATGGTAGCAGCTAGGTCTGGAATGGCCTTGCGTTCCCAGCAAAGCCCCAGGAGGGCCTCAGGATTAGTAGTAGCAGCAGAAGGAGTTCATGAGGGTTTAGAGCAGCAGTTTCCCAAACCCTTTCTACTTTCACAAGACTTTTCCGAGGAGGGAGTGCTCACTCTGTCCCGAACGAAGCCTTGTGAATCTACAAAGCCTGTCCTCCTTTCATTTACTCCCAAGTGCCTAAATGTTTCATGCAACAGAGTCAGCTTTGAAAGATAGATAAAACATTTCTAAGATAACCACAAACCTATTGTCGAAGGCTTTCATGGCCAGAATCACTGGGTTGCTGTGTGTTTTCCAGGCTGTCTGGCCATGTTCTAGAAGCATTCTCTCCTGACGTTTCACCTGCATCTCTATGGCAGGCATCCTCAGAGGTTGAGAGATTTGTTGGAAACTGGAAAATTGGGTTGATATATCTGTGGAATGATGTCCAGGGTGGGAGAAAGAATTCTTGTCTGTTGGAGGCAAGTGTGAATGTTTCAATTGGTCACCTTGATTAGCATTTTGGCCTAGCAGTTTCAAGGTCTGGCTTCTTACTGCCTGGGGGAATCCTTTGTTGGTATGCTGGAAACTAGGGAAATGGGGTTGATATATCTGTGGAATGATGTCCAGGGTGGGAGAAAGAACTCTTGTCTGTTGGAGCCAGGTGTGAATGTTGCAATTGGCCACCTTGATTAGCATTTAGTGGCCTAGCAGTTTCAAGGTCTGGCTTCTTACTGCCTGGGGGAATCCTTTGTTGGTATGCTGGAAACTAGGGAAATGGGGTTGATATATCTGTGGAATGATGTCCAGGGTGGGAGAAAGAACTCTTGTCTGTTGGAGCCAGGTGTGAATGTTGCAATTGGCCACCTTGATTAGCATTTGCTGTCCTGGCAGTTTCAAGGTCTGGCTTCTTACTGCCTGGGGGAATCCTTTGTTGGTATGTGGAAACTAGGGAAATGGGGTTGATATATCTGTGGAATGATGTCCTGGGTGGGAGAAAGAACTCTTGTCTGTTGGAGCCAGGTGTGAATGTTGCAATTGGCCACCTTGATTAGCATTTAGTGGCCTAGCAGTTTCAAGGTCTGGCTTCTTACTGCCTGGGGGAATCCTTTGTTGGATGGTGATGGGGTTGTATATCTGTGGAAATGTCCTGGGTGGGAGAAGGAACTCTTGTCTGTTTGAGCAAGAGTGTAATGTTGCAATTGGCCACCTTGATTAGCATTGTGGGCCCTTCTACTTTTGGTGTAGCTTTACTGCCTGGGGGAATCCTTTGTTGTTGGAAACTAGGGAAATGTGGTTGATATCTGTGGAATGATGTCCAGGGTGGGAGAAAGAACTCTTGTCTGTTGGAGCCAGGTGTGAATGTTGCAATTAGCCACCTTGATTAGCATTTAGTGGCCTAGCAGTTTCAAGGTCTGGCTTCTTACTGCCTGGGGGAATCCTTTGTTGGTATGCTGGAAACTAGGGAAATGGGGTTGATATATCTGTGGAATGATGTCCTGGGTGGGAGAAAGAACTCTTGTCTGTTGGAGCCAGGTGTGAATGTTGCAATTGGCCACCTTGATTAGCATTTAGTGGCCTAGCAGTTTCAAGGTCTGGCTTCTTACTGCCTGGGGGAATCCTTTGTTGGTATGTTGGAAACTAGGGAAATGGGGTTGATATATCTGTGGAATGATGTCCAGGGTGGGAGAAAGAACTCTTGTCTGTTGGAGCCAGGTGTGAATGTTGCAATTGGCCACCTTGATTAGCATTTAGTGGCCTAGCAGTTTCAAGGTCTGGCTTCTTACTGCCTGGGGGAATCCTTTGTTGGTATGCTGGAAACTAGGGAAATGGGGTTGATATATCTGTGGAATGATGTCCAGGGTGGGAGAAAGAACTCTTGTCTGTTGGAGCCAGGTGTGAATGTTGCAATTGGCCACCTTGATTAGCATTTAGTGGCCTAGCAGTTTCA